TTATTGATGGAAAGTAGTGTCTAATAGTGTTCCAATTGGAATCCCTCTCTGTAACAGAACAGAACTACTCTATTTATAATAAGGAACTCCTTACAATTGTCTATTCCCTAGAGGAGTAGTATTAATATCTCCTTAGTACTGTACAGAAGTTTGAGATTTAGAGTAATCACCTTAATCTTTAGTACTTCCAGGTGTCTCAGAAGCTTAACTACTGTCAAGCCTACTAGATGTTAGAACTACAGGACTATGACTTTGTACTAACTTACAAACCCAGAACACAAATGACAAAAGCTAATTTACTCTCAAGATAAGTAGGTTATAAAAGGGGGGAGAATAATAACAAAAACCTTGTTCTCTTAGACAATTCCTGTTTTGTATCTGAGACAATCTGAGAGATCTGACTCAAATCTAAGAATGTTGACTTTGTCACTTACATACAGTAAGCTCTAAGACACATACAGGACTAGGTTGTAGTGAAGCAGCTAGAGAAGCAGGCTAGGGATTGGGAGGAGGATGAGAATGGACAGGTTTACTAGAAAGGCTAACTGTATGTTCCAAAGGATTAGAAGCTGTAAGAGAACATTGTCTGAGCTCATTACAACAATCTGACTGTAGAACATCTGGGCCAACACAAAACACAGGAACTCATTACTCAGAACTACTAGTAGTCAGGAATGTAGAGGGAAATCCTAAAGTATATGACTGGTTATAATACATACTATTAACCTACCTAAATCCTGAGGCATCTTAGAGGGGAATCACACAACAAGGGGTGTAGTGGACTCTGCTCATTGTTTGTTAAGCTTCATTGTCCATTAATTAGAGTACTATTTATACTAATGATATCTATGTTTCGGATGTGTGTCTCAATTCATTATGTTCTGTTGTAATGACATACTTATGACAGCATATATGCATACTATCCAAGACATTATGAGCATGCTGATTGCTAATGTTAACACTCCCCTTCAAACTCTTAATAGATATTCTAAGATGTTTGATTTGTGGTATGTACTGTCAATTGTATATTATCATTATTGTTCACTTTATTTGTCCGTTCGTTCATCTATTCTTTTGTTTGTATATGTGTTATGCATAGATGTAATGTTTATAATAATAATTACATTACATAGATGTTTTGTCTGTAAGTCCACTGTGTGTTACATTTGTCCAACATTATTTAATAAGTTTATTTGATGTTATTAAATATATTCGAAGTTGTTTCGAAGTTCGTCTGTATTGTATTGTTCAATAACAATAATGTTTCTGTAATAAATCGTTTTATGTATCAATGAATACATTGCAAATTGTCTATTAACACTTTAGAGACCTGTAGAATCTCTTCAGCTGTTTTGTATTTGCATATATGTGTGTATAACAATGGTTATCACAATGGTTCATTCGTTTCTTTCTTTAATATTAAGAGATCTATTGTTTTTGTTTGGCCACATTATTTGATAGTTAATTGATCTTTATTTGATTGCAACATTTATCTATCCAATAGTATTGTTTACTATTCAATTGGATGATATGTTTATTTGATCACATCGACTGTATTGTTTGTTTTTAGTATAGTATCACTTTGATATCATGGAATTCTGTTTTATTTTAACTTTTGGCAAAGTAGTTCATACTAATAAAGTATTTGTTTGTACTTTTGGTGAATTAATTCATACCAATGAAGTTTATATGTAATGCATATGATGTCCTTCATTCATCATTGCTGTCCACGTCTGTATATCACTGTATATGTTATGCACACTCAGTAATAAACTGATTTTACACTGTCAGATTGAAGCATTGCATTGCCTGAATTTCATAATATAGATTTCTAGTCTATAATTGCTAGATTGCTTCATGCTGAGGTTAAAGAGGTATTTTTATTTGTTTTCTTTTTATATCTGGCTGTACATTCTGCTATGTGACTTGGTGCATTATATCATATATCATGAATGTATTGTCTGCTTGTACATATTTTAACACATTCAGAACAACCTTCACAGTATGATACATTGTTATTGGGTAAATCACATAGGTTCTCATCATATGTGCATCTGTATTGTTCATTTCAATAGTAACACTAATTGTGGATTCTTGCAATTGTAATCCTAATAGTATAGCTATTGCTTTGTTTAATTGGTGTAATGCTTTGCACAATTATAGTGTTTGTTTGATGTTGTATCTCATTGTTTTAACAAGTTAGATAGAGTATTTTTGTTTCTTGTCTTGTTTATATTTCGTTTATAGATATACTGTTTGTTATCTTTTTGTTGCGTTTCATAATTCTAATGCTATTTACATTTATATTCATCATTATAATGATAGCAAGTAAATCTTTTGCATGATTATTGATTATATAGTTGTGTAGAATCAATGATATATATGTCATAGTTCTTTGCATACTATTTTCACTGTTTTGTTCAGTTTAATATGTGTATTATGTATGGATAATATTTGCATTTATCATATGGATATGTTCTTTATCCTTTTATATACGTTCTGAGGTATTATTCTTGTTATTCGTCATTTTGTCTGTCATTTGTAGTATGAATCAATGATTTATCTTGTTAGATAACGTTTTATTTGTCTGTATTTAGTTTATTTTCGTATTAAACTTTGTTTATAATGATTTTATTTTCATACTTATTTTGTTTGCTAAGTATGTGTGTTTGCTTCATTGCATATAATCATTTATTTGTTTATTGAAGTTTAATTGTACAGTTGTGTTGACTTCTATTTTTGTTGTGATCTGTATTATTTAGCATTGCTTCAAATGATTAATGTTTTGATTGCTGTTATGTCTGTTACTTCTTTTAATTTTTAGCAAGTGCTTCATGCATCTAGTGTAGATTGCTTTGGGAATATGTGCCATTTCTTAGCTTGCCTGGATTATTTCCCAGTTATATGTCTGAATATTATTTCGTTTACTTAGTTATTTGTTTGCTATTATGTCCTACATGTTAGGGAATAAGTATTAGAAGTTTTGTGTGATACATAATCATTATTTTCAATGTAACATACGTTCTGTTGTGGAAGACATAGTTCTGTTCGATAATTCTGTATAGTTCATTATACACTAGAGATGCTTTTCCACTCAACATTGTTGTATGTAGCATACTTCTCTGTGTTTAGGTATATAATCTGTAGTATATTTGTTTGTAATACGTTCAATAGTACCATGTATAGTGTGACCATCAAAGATTTTAGAGAAAATGTCTCTTACATAAGTATATTATTGTTGGATTTGTCAGATTCGCTTTGAATTCATTGCAATAACTTTATAATCATGTTTTGTAGGATGTGCAACATTAAATAGTGACATAGTCAATATTTCTGCATCATTTAATTGTTCACTATGTTTCAATCGTTCATTTGTTATGTTTTATGTTTTGTGAATATATGCTGTTATTACTCCCCTTCAATTCAAGAAGGTTTGCTTTGAGCAATTGGCTTTTGTGTATAATTGATTTGTTTGTACGTTTTTGTCATTCTATTGTTCGTTTAAGTATTGTATGTGAATGTGTGAATGTGTTTTGTTGAATAATTTCAATGTTATTCATTATCTTTGTCTGATTTAGTTATTATTTCTTTTTGGCATTATACTGATTGTTATTTGAGTTTATACTCAAATAGATTGTATGTATGCTTGTGTATTTCGTTTGATTGTTATGTGTATGTCTGAATAGTTTGTTACTTGGATAATTATAATCCATTGTATTGTTTAGCAAGGTTAAGTTTGTGTGTTTTGTCCGTTATATTTGCATACATTGAGTACTGCATTATTTCGTTTTGCTCAGTATCATTTGTCTTCTGTTTGATGACAAAAGTATTTGAGCTATTGCATTTTGTTTCCATTTCATTTATTAATCTTTATTCTTTTGTGATGAGTACAAGCTTCAAGCAAGGCTGTTAATGAAGAATATGCTGTTACAATATTGTTTGAACTTCAAATAGTTAATGATATTTGTTATTTATTGATCATAGATATATTCTTTGTGAATAAATATCTTTCCACTGTTTACAGTGATTGATTAAATCTGTCACACATTGTGTTTAATCATTAGTGAAGTGTCTAATTGAGTTCCAAACTTATGTTTGTTTCTTTTGGATTTTGTTCTGACATTCGTTTGTCTTTTGTGTACTTGGTGGCAGTGTTCTTTCCATTGCTTGGCCCTTCAGACTATCCAATGTTAGGCTCTAATGTTTTCAAGGCATTAGTTATTTTGTTTTGTGTCTGTATTATTGTATTTTGTCAAGTTTTTAAGTGACGTTTAATTGTTTATAACATTTTGTATGTTAATGATAGTTTTTCAATGTGTCTGAAATATGTTTATATTGTTTAACTGTTCATATTAATCATATTGACTTAATACTTTGTTATCATGTATATCTCATTGATACATAATATTGTTACAATGTATTTGTAACTATTGTTTGTTTGATTTTCACATTTGTATATAACTTTGCATTATTTAATAAATAATAGTTTTATGTGTTTGAATGCATTATTATTACTTTGTACATTTGTATATTTGTATATCTATGTAATATATTTTATTATTTCATTGTATACGTTTGTATATCTATGCAATATATTTGTATATGGTAAATATATGTTATTTATCATGACTGTGTGTTTGTGATAGTATAAATTGTTTTTATATTTGAGTTATTATGCTTTAGTTACATTTATACTCTTGTTTTTGTATTATTTGTTTGTCTAATCATTATTAGATTGATTGTACGTTTGCAATAGTATTTCTTTATATTATTATTATGCTTTGCTAGCATTATTCTTTCGTTTATAGTATTAATCATTTGTATTATTAATATAATATCAAATGTTTGTTTGTTATGTGAGATGTTATTATTATAACATATCTCTGTAGTGTAAGATGAAGTAGTTCAGTGTTTGGATGTGTATTACTAGGTATTCATTGCTTTTAAAGCAACTAATCTGTCTGAAGTTATTTTAATAAATCAATACATGTTTGGGATGCTCAGACAGGTGTGTCTAGGTCCTTGTAGATAATACATTCTTTCTACAAGTATTATAGCATGTCTTGTTGTATAAAGCAATTGTAGTCTTCAGAACAAGACAATTTGCATTTAGTATGCTCAGATGGGAGTGCCAAAGGTTTGTAGATGAGTAGAATAGATTGTACGTGTAGAATCAAGTGGATTCAGTGTTAAATGAAGTAGTTTGATGTTACTTATCAAGTATAATATGATTGAGCATATTAAATCATTTGTACTATGGTGTATAGTACACTGAAGCATTCAAGATGACAATCATAGTGCATATAGTCATACATATAACTACTGAGGGGGAAATCATAATCATAGAGATGATGATTTCAAAGCATTGTGTTTGTAGAGGGTAAGATAAAAGCATAGTAACAATGTAGATATGAGTAGGGAGTGCAAGGCTCATAACCTGTTAGCCTGCCTAAATCCTGAGGCATCTTAGAGGGGAATCACACAACAAAGGGTGTAGTAGACTCTGCTCATTGTTTGTTAAGCTTCATTGTCTGTTAATTAGAGTACTATTTATACTAATGATATCTATGTTTCAGATGTGTGTCTCAATTCATTATGTTCTGTTGCAATGACATACTTATGACAGCATATATGTATGCTATCCAAGACATTATGAGTATACTGATTGCTAATGTTAACACATACTAACAGACTAAGACTTACTAGACAAGGGTTTAGACTCCCCTACATCTGTATTGGATTCTGGATCACCCTTAGGAAGAAGTCTTGGTAGACCTGATTAGTAAGCTACCTGAGTCTCAGAGTTATAACACTATCTGTATAATTGTCAACTGATTCTCTAAGCAAGTCTATACAGTTCCAACCCAAATGGAACTCACTTCTGAAGGTATGACACACATTTATCAGGATCATGTTTTCTAGTTATACAGACTCCCTCAGAAGCTCATTCACAATTACAGACTGTAATTCAAGTCAAAATTCATGTAGGACTTGTATACACTTCTCAGAATTCAAGGGAACCCTTCTACTACATATTACCTACAGACTGACAGTCAAACTGAGCAAGTCAATCAGGAAATCAAGCTCTACCTCTGGATGTTCATTAATCATTAGTAATCAGATTGGTCTGAATGGTTAGCTCTAGCAGAATTTGTGTACAATAACTGTTAGTGTGTTGAGGTTGTAATGTTTCCTAAACAATAGGAAATATTCTTCTGTAGGTTTGTATACTACTCACAAGGATACTAAGAGTTAGTCACACTAGTAGGGGTTCAGTAGACTCTGCTCATAGTGTGTAGGTGTCAATATGAGTCAACTGTGTAGTTTGTAATGAGCTTTATCATCCTTGGATTAAAGTAATATATATGCTATCTAATATTGTATGTCTCAGATGTATGTCTTGGAAGACATGTCTCAGCAATAGTGTATATTTGCAAGACATTTGTGTGATTTGAGACATATGATGCATTTATCCGAAATAAATGTTAACACTCCCCTTCAAACTTATACTAGTTGATCAGACTAATATAATGTTTGATAAACATTTGTCTGTTGTTTTTACTAATATTATTTACATTCACAATGTAAATGTTTTGTTTGCTTTGTATATTAAGTCCACTGTAAGTGTTACATTCGTCCAATGTATTATTATTATGTTCAATGTAATAAATCAATTGTTAATTCAATTTTGATTGCCAAGAGAGCTGTAGGATCTCTTTAGTGTTTGTTTGTTTGTAGTTTTATTATTATTACTATTATAGTTGTCACTATAATGTTTTATCATTTGTATGATAGTAGTTCTTCTTGTCTGTAATATATTATAATATGATATAACTTTGTTTTGTTTGTTTTTCATGTCATATTGTTTGTTTTGTGTCATAGTATGTTTATTTTATCATACTGTATTGTTCTGTAGTTGTTCTGTTATTTGTTCTGTTTGTATTCATATTATTATATGTGTAGTTCGTTTTGTATTCTTACACTCAAAGTGTAATTATCATTGTAATTCGTTTGTATTGTTTTGTTTGTATAGTTAATACTATATTTAATAACAATGTGTGTGTTATTAATTTGTTCTTGTTAATTTGTATTTTTGCACATTTGAATTGTGTTACTAGTAGTTTTCCACTTTTACTTTTGCAATGAAACTGTTGAATCATGCTCATAAAATGTGCTGTCAATGTTATTATAATGTCCTCTATTCATCATGTATCATCTTTGTTTGTGTTTGTTTTGTATTCATACCTTTTAAGCATTTAATAATAGTTCTATGCCTTTATATTGAAGCATTGTATTGTTTGCAATTCATAATATCATTTATGATATGTCAGATTGCTTCATATCAAGGTCAATTAAGGTTTTATTTGTTGTAATTCGTTTTATTTTATCATCTGACTGTTTGTAAGTCTGTTTAGGCACATTATTTATGTTTCAAACATATGGTACGTTTGTATTGTTTTGCTGTTTTGCAATAGATATATTTGATATTGTTATATGTGTGCATTACATTCATTATTGTTTAATGTGTCCTTCAACTTTACAAACTATAATGTTATTCATATGTTTGTATTGTTTTATTGTTGTGATAATGTTTTTATTATCATTGTATAGTGTTATTTAATTAATATATATTGCTTTGCACAATTATAATATGTGTTTGTTGTTTTTATTTTGTAGATAGATGAAATAGTGTGTTTCACAGTTCTATTTTTCATTGTATATTGTAATATTCATTCATTTATTGTTTATTTTGTATCAAGTTCTGTTTGATATTGTTTTAATCATTATATTTGCTTTATTTGCTGAATATAGGTGTGTATTTGTTATGAAATATAAATTTATTTTGTTTATTTTGAGTGTATTGCTCATTTTTGTTCATTATGATTGATGTTATCTTGTTTTATTTGAAAGGATTAACATTTTGATCACTGTTATGTCTGTTGCTTCTTTTAATTTTAGTGAGTGCTTTGTGCATCTAGTGTAGATCACTTTGGGAATATGTGCCATTTCTTGGCTTGCCTGGATTATTTCCCAGTTATATGTCTGAATATTATTTTGTTTACTTAATTATTTGTTTGCTATTATGTCCTACATGTTAGGGAATAAGTGTTGGAAGTTTTGCATGATGTGTGATTGTTATTTTCAATGTAACATACATTCTGTTGTGGAAGACATAGTTCTGTTCTATAATTCTGTATAGTTTGATATGCACCAGAGATGCTTTTCTGCTCAACATTGTTGCATGTAGTGTACTTCTCCTTGTTTTAGGTATATAATCCATAGTATATTTGTTTGTAATATGTTCAATAGTGCCATGTATAGTGTGACCATCAAAGATTTTAGAGAAAATGTCTCTTGCATAAGTATATTATTGTCAGATTCGTCAGATTTGCTTGTCAGATTCAACAGATTCACTTTGAATTCATTGTGATAACTTTATAATTGTGTTTTGTAGGATGTACAACATTAAATAGTGATGTAGTCAATATTTCCACATCATTTAATTGTTCACTATGTTTTGATTTATTGTTTGTTATGTTTTATGTTTTGTGAATATATGCTGTTATTACTCCCCTTCAATTTGAGAAGGTTTGCTTTGAGTAATTGGCTTTTGTGTATAATCAATTTGTTTGTACGTTTTTGTCATTCTATTATTTGTTTAAGCATTGTATGTGAATGTGTGAATGTGTTTTGTTGAATAATTTCAATGTTATTTGTTATCTTTGTCCAATTTAGTTATTAATTCTTTTTGGCATTATACTGAATGTTATTCAAGTTTATACTCAAATAGATTGTATGTATGCTTGTGTATTTCGTTTGATTGTTATGTGTATGTCCGAATAGTTTGTTATTTGGATAAATATAATCCATTGTATTGTTTAGCAATGTTAAGTTTGTGTATTTTGTTTGTTATATTTGCATACATTGAGTAGTGCATTATTTTGTTTTGCTCAGTATCATTTGTCTTCTGTTTGATGACAAAAGTATTCAAACTATTGTGTTTTGTTTCTGTTTTGTTTATTAATCTTTATTCTTTTGTGATGAGCACAAGCTTCAAGCAAGGCTGTTAATGAAGAATATGCTGTTATGATATTGTTTGAACTTTGAATAGTTAATGATATCCTTTATGTATTGATCATAGATATATTCTTTGTGAATAAATATCTTTCCACTGTTTGCAGTGATCGATTAAATCTGTCACACATTGTGTTTAATCATTAGTGAAGTGTCCAATTGAGTTCCAAACTTATGTTTGTTTCTTTTGGATTTTGTTTCAATGTTTGTTTGTCTTTTGTGTACTTGGCAGTAGTGTTCTTTCTGTTGCTTGGCCCTTTGGACTATCCAATGTTAGGCTCTAATGTTTTCAAGGCATTAGTTATTTTGTTTTGTGTCTGTATTATTGTATTTCATCAAGTTTTTAAGTGACATTTAATTGTTTATAACATTTTGTATGTTAATGATATTTTTGATGTGTCTGAAATATGTTTATATTGTTTAAACTGTTTGTATTAATCGTATTGACTTAATACTTTGTTATCATGTATATCTTATTGATACATAATATTGTTATAATGTATTTGTAACTATTGTTCGTTTGATTTTCGCATTGTAATAGTAATTGTGTGAGGTATAAGATATGTATTCGTCCATATAGTTTATAATGTTGATATTATGCATATATGCATCATTATATTGTTTCTTTGTTTGTAGCATTATGGTTTAATTTAATTTAATACTTTGTATAAGTATATATGTTCTATAACTTTGTTTTGTGTGTTTTATTAATTGTTTTTATTGTTATTATGTGTTTGTTCAATTGCATTTGTATATAACTTTGTGTTATTTAATAATTAATAGTTTTATGTGTTTGAATGCATTATTATTACTTTGTACATTCATATATTTGTATATCTATACAATATATTTTATTATTTCATTGTATACGTTTGTATATCTATGTGATATATTTGTATATGGTAAATATATGTTATTTATCATGACTGTGTGTTTGTGATAGTATAAATTGTTTTTATATTTGAGTTATTATGCTTTAGTCACATTTATACTCTTGTTTTCATATTATTTGTTTGTCTAATCATTATTAGATTGATTGTACATTTGCAATAGTATTTCTTTATATTATTATTATGCTTTGCTAGCATTATTCTTTCGTTTATAGTATTAATCATTTGTATTATTAATATAATATCAAATGTTTGTCTGTTATGTGAGATGTTATTATTATAATGTATCTCTGTAGTGTAAGATGAAGTAGTTCAGTGTTTGGATATAGTATTGCTGGGTATTCATTGCATTTGAAGCAACTAATCTGTCCAAAGTTATTTTAATAAATCAATGTGTGTTTGGGATGCTCAGACAGGTGTGTCTAGGTCCTTGTAGATAATACATTCCTTCTATGAGTATTGTAGCATGTCTTGTTGTATAAAGTGATTGTAGTCTTCAGGACAAGACAATTTGCATTTGGTATACTCAGATGGGAGCACCAAAGGTTTGTAGACAAGTAGAATAGATTGTATGTGTAGAATCAAGTGGATTCAGCATTAAATGAAGTAGTTCAATGTTACTTATCAAGTATAACACAATTGAGTGTATCAAATCATTTGTACTATAGTGTATAGTACACCAAAGTGTTTGAGATGACAATCATAGTGTATCTAGTCATACATATAACTACTGAGGGGGAAATCATAATTGTAGAGATGATGATTTCAAAGCATTGCATTTGTAGAGGGTAAGATAAAAGCATAGTAACAATGTAGATATGAGCAGGGAGTGTAAGGCTCATAACCTGTTAGTGTGTTAAGGTTGTAATGTTTCCTAAACAATAGGAAATATTCTTCTGTAGGTTTGCACACTGCTCACAAGGATACTAAGAGTTAGTCACACTAGTAGGGGTTCAGTAGACTCTGCTCATAGTGTGTAGGTGTCAATATGAGTTGACTGTATAGTTTGTAATGAGCTTTATTGTCCTTGAATTAAAGTAATATATATGCTATCTAATATTGTATGTCTCAGATGTATGTCTCAGAAGACATGTCTCAGTAATAGTGTATATTTGTAAGATGTTTGTGTGATTTGAGATATATGATACATTTATCTGAAATAAATGTTAACAATAACTGGCAACATTCTGTAATAGGACAGTCCTCATTCTTTCTCAATCATAAGAGACACTTGTACTAGGGGACAGTTCTAAACTAGAACAGTAGTTCTGAATCTGTAATAGACTTTGTAGAACAGATACACAAAACTAGGGCAGACACACAAGCTCTTTTAGAGAAGGTAGTATAGGTTATAAAGCAGAACTATGATTAGAAGAGGTCTGTGACTAAGGATTACCAGCCTAGTAACAAAGTTATACTAGAAGCCACTAATCTAACCTTGGATTGTCTAATGAAGAAGTTGGACAACAAGTGCTTCAGACCCTTCATTATTGAAAAGAAGGTTAGTGCCTCTGTCTACAAACTCTAACTTCTAATAACATGGAAGTGTATACACCTAGTGTTTAACAAGGTTCTGTTGTCTCAGTACTATGATCCTGTTTTCCCTTCACAACAAAGACCCCTGCCACCTCTACCAGAACTCATCAGCTCCAAACCAGAATACAAAGTAGAGTATATAGTAGATACTAAGCTACTGTATAGAAAGCTCAAATTCCTTGTTTACTAGAAAGGGTACCCAGTTGAGGAGTACACTTAGGAACCTGCCAAGAATCTTGCCTATACTCCTAAGACAATCCAAGATTTCTATCAGCTTCATCCTAGTGCTCTGTACAAACTCAGCCTTACAGATTTTCAAGCCCTACTGTTTCAACCTATGTCTGAGCTACTAACCAAGCCTAATGTTTACTAATTGGGACAATTGGTTTTAGAGAGAGGGTAATGTTATGGTTCTCTACTCTCATACTTTCAGTTCTAAGGGTTCCACACCCTTCTGTACCAGAACTCAGGACTTCTGTCCCTCAGAGGCACTGTTTATAAACTATATGTATACTGACTCTTACTACTACTCTTCCTTACTTTATTATTCCATTCCTTTGACCACCCCTTCATTCTTTGTTCATTCTATAGTCTCTTACCCTTTGTCCATCCCTTCATTCTTTGTTCCTTTATCTTTGACCTTCCTTTCTTTCATTCTTTGTAGCTTATCATTCTTAGTAGCTCATACTCCCTAAGTACTCTTGTATAGTTTAGTATATATAAGTGTACAAGATTAGACTAGTACTGTAGTCTTAATCTTGTCTACTCTAGATAGTCCTGTACTCTTAGGCTCACTCTATATACTCTACTCTTGTCTCACTCTCTCTCTCTGCCTGTTCTACAAGTTCCAACTATGTTCTAATACTTGTGTTCTGTATTTCTGTTATGTAGGATAGTTGTAGCCTGGGTCCCCTTACTGAGCCTTTGGGTCCCCTCTATACTGTTGCTGACACCTTCTACTCTTCCACAGTTGCCTCTCCTTCATTGTCCTCCTTTTCTTATAGTTTGCCTTCCTTTTTGAATTTACATTTGTACATCTGTATTGTTTCTAATACTGAATGATTTCTTTAATAATTCTATACATTTGTGTACTTCTTCCTACTCTGTAGCACAAGCAATAATTGTTAAGCACACACTTACAACAATGTTTATATACAACCACTCCTAAGGTGAGATCCTCTCTCTGACCCTTACATACTTTCCTTCCCTATCCACCATTCTATACTTGATGTGTATTTACATTACCTAGTACTGTTTATAACACTGTTTTGAATAACAGAAGCAGTAGCCTACTACTCACCCCTCCTAAGCTGAGTCTGTCTATACCTTCTACTTCTCCTCCTCCCTTCAAGCCAGAATGTCCTAGAGATACACCTTTGAACAACTCAGTTCACTGTACCTCTGATTGTAAGACATAGTCAGAGTATGTAACACACAGGTACAAACACAGCTTTGCTTACAGTCCAAATCATCTTGTTCAACACTCTAGATCACAACCCTAGTGTACTGCTCACACTTACTACACACTATTATGATACATCCATCTCCTTGCTCCAGTTAGCCACTCACATTAATGCTAATACTCACACTCACACCTTTAGCCAGACAGTCTTACAACTTCTCTCACAAGTACAACCTCAACCTACACAACACATACAACCTTACAACTGACAGGCACACACAATTCAACTTGCAGGGACTGAGTAACAACTAAGTCTTAGTGACTAAGACCACATTAAACAACCTAAGAATGTATTCATTGTCTTCCATTGTAAATACTGTTTGAAAAAGAACAAGGCAGAGGCTGTACTACCTGTAGAAGGTGACCTGGTCACACAACATCAGTATCAAGCTGACCTCTCCAAAACAATCTCATACTAATAGTGTTTGCTGTTTGTAGAGGAACATAAATACTGGGGCAAACTTGCAAAGTAGAGGAAGAAAGAGCACAAGGAGATGAATACCCATAGTATATCTATTGGTTGTTGTGATTTGCTAAGGTAGTGATAGTTTTGTTTCTGTTATAATGTGTTAATATTATGTACTGTTCAGCATTGTTAGTAAAGAATAAAATATTTAAATAAAATATATATTGTATAATAAGCCATTCAGATAAGATATAAGCTGTAAATTAACTTATTTAAGGATTATAAGATAGCAGAAGAAGTATTATACCATATCAGAAGAGGGGTGCAATATATACCATTATAGACTTTCCTAAGAGCTATAATTCTTATATTCCTATTGTAAGGACATGTAATGTTTATTAATTCTTATAATATAAATCTGTCTTATTACAACCTTATAGTATCTTTTATATATCTTATCCAATGAGGGGTGCAATAAATGTCATTATGGATAATATTGTTTTTTTACATATTATATATGCATATAAGAGTATATAATAATTAAGACTTTTTCCTGACAATATTGCCAAGGCATATATGTTTTGTATATTGTGGGTCCTTATATTCAATTATATTGTCTACATGTATATATATTACCTTTTCAGACTCTGCACAAAGTGTGATGAAGATTATCTCCTAGAAAAACAATCAAGGTGTCAGCAAATAGGGTTAGCTGAAAAAGCAGCACTTATTGTCAAGGGTACTGAGAACAGAAGAATAGATAACAAAATAAAGGTCAAACAGGCATTGGTTTGTGCACGTCATCTTGAACTCGTCACTGAGTGGCTAAAGGCAGCAAAGATCTTATGCACATTGTATTCAGATCAAATCAATTCACTACATCGTATCCTAGTCTTTTTAATGCCAACAATATGTACAAGAGACTACCTAGTGAAACGTTATTTCATTTAAAGAATCCCCAAATTGCTCGGCCAAGGCTTTCATGATTTTATCACAAGCCTCCCACTCACGTACAACCTTCGGATCACGATAACGGTAAAACAGCCGGTCCGCAAACACAGGTTGGATGTGACGACAGGGCGGTTCTTTCACTTCATCGTCTTCTGATTCTCCAAGTGATTCGGATTCGGCGCCGGTTACGGTGGTGTTCATCCGAGTGTCTGGAGCCTTACCCTCGCTCGCCACTACAGGAGTACGACGATAACGACCCATTCTACACGTCAGTGTCGAAGGACCAGCTACAGCTGATTGCATCCGTGCTGATTTTCGCGGGGAAGGAGTAGTTTGCTCTTTCGGTCGCTGGAGGATTGTACGCGGCTTGGCAGGTGTAGTCGGAAGTTCCGCAGACGTATCCAGCTTGTCGGACTGCATAGTAGGGACGCTCGTCTCTTCGGTCTGTGACGAGATAATCGGCTTTGTCGGAGAATTAACAAATGATTTAGCATTTGCATAGGTTTTCGTCGGTGAGGTTTTGACGGGAGCATTCACAACACCACTCTTTGTTGGCGTCGAGATATTACTAGCGACAGGCAATCTATTGAGCTTCAGTGGTGATGTCGTCTTTTGTTTCTTTGTCGGCGTCATAAACGGAAGTGGAGGAAGGACCGCCTTTCGCTTCGTTGGAGAGCCATCTGCAGTGTCCCGAACGTGTGTTGACGCTTTCGTTGGTGTTTTCGTTGGCGAAGATGATAGGGTCGATGCAGTCGCTACCCTTCCTTTCGAAGGTGACATGTCCCGTGAGAGCTTCGTGGGAGTCCCTCCTAGCGATCTCGATGGCGTAGAGAGGGTTGATCGTGCTGTTCGAGCTTCTCCAATGAACTTGCCCATACTTTCTTTGAGATCTCTGCATGTTACTTCTAAGATGGCCTCAATCTCCTGCAATTCACGCAACGGAACCTTGTACTCTGATATAATGGTCGCTTGCTTGACAGAGCGTATCTATGTAACATCCGTGAAAGTTGTTTAATCGGAAGTCACAAGGAAAAAGCGCTGAATGATGGACTCACGTTAAGTGCGATGCATGTCCAATAAAACACCACATATATAATACTTTCGTCATCCACCTCCAAGTCGTCAAGCTCCTCGCTTTTTCTTAGCTCCTTATCCACTTCCTCCATCCAGTACAGCGAATCTTCATTCAAGCCATGAGAGCGGCACAGAGTCTGGTAAGAAATATTCTTCCCATGTCTTCGACTCAAATAACCTGAGATTGCCCCACGAACGGTGCTCAAAGCAGCTTCGAAGTCCTTTGGCTTAAGACATGAGACATCTTGCGCCACCTTCTTCACAACATCATTATTACCCAATCTGAAATGAATGGTGAGTAAGTAATAAATGCGGAATCGAAGAGCATGAACCTTTCGGACGCCAGAAACGCGCAGATAGCAGGCAAAGCAATCGCGCTCTTGCCCAGATCATGACCAGACCCAGCTCCAGTTTTCGATCGGGCTATGTTGAGGAGATCTTTGGCATCCTTGAGAGTTTCTTCCTTTCCGCATATCCGTATGAGCTGTTGCTGATATGCAGCCGCCATAGTTTCCCGTGCGTGCAAATATAATGTGAAATCACTGATGTGTGAGGTGAGGTGAGATGAGACACGCGCAACACAAGGGATGATCGTCGATTAGGGCCGGCTGTTACGCGCAGCATACTCTCGCCTCTCTAGAATCTAAAGTAACCGTCTCGAAACATTATATCATGCATTATAATAGCTTTCATCGATTCTTTCCAGCAAAAATTACATGTTAAACGGGTTACTATCACATTACGCTGTCAATTAGTGGTACGATGGAAACACATTTAGACTGGGTCATGAGAGAGAATCGCAGTAAACAGTCTAGTCATACGGCTCATACCAATGATTCAATAAAGCAGTTCATTTAGCATTTCATTAACTTTATCTTCAGCTTCGTGTATGTGCTCCTCGGCGTCTTCGGGATCCCAGTCTTTGATACTGCCCAAAAGCGCATTATATCGTTCATCTCGTAGTTGAGAGACAACAACAGTTAGTTTGGGACCAAGTTCTTCCCATTCCTCGGTTGTCAAATTAGAGGAGCGCAATGCAAGCAACCTCAACTCCGGCCCGAACCACTCCTGTATATCAAATATCCTTGCTAACTGGAGCTTTCGCGAAGATCGAAGGTTATGGTTGTTGAGTTTCTCTATAAGTTGCGACTGAAAACGATCAAAGCACCGCATTTTTGCAAGGTGCAATGCAGACTCGAGTTCTGTGTCTGTCATAATCAATCGACCTTGCCATTCCGGCCTAGAATGCATATAAGGCTTGTTTTCGGGGTATGCCATGCCAAATATCCAATACACACCTCGGTAGAAATGCTTTTAGAAAACAACGGAAGTCATGGGCCTTCACACCTTCGAGGTGAATAGGGTGCTCCTCGCTTTGACCATCCTGCCCGTCCGATGGCGGCGGCGATGCAAACATTCCCGCAAAGACCTCTGACTGTTCCTTGAATTCTTTACCAGGGACTCGAAAAAGAGTATTCTCCACCTACATAACTTGTTAGCTTTGGCATTTCAGTAGTAACAATGTTATGGATCACCTGGAATGTAATTAGCTGGTCATAAAAGTATTGGCTATCTTTGCAAACTGCCATCGTCAAGCTCCCGTATGAAAGGTTCCTGGTGGTCTTTGAGGAAGGGCGATGCAATAGTGTTTCGCTCCTTAAGAATACGGTCCATTTGACTCAGAAGAAAGATAGAAGCTTCAAACCAGTCAGATTGAGTCGCTACAAAAGCCGTCAGATCCAATACTTAATCCCAGCGCCATGATTTATTGAAGGCAAGGTTCGTAGTGAATAGCGAGTTGATATATTGATTCGATACGCTACTCCAACTGTGCAGAAACCATCCAAGGTCGGCTATGATTATTGCTCATCACCATTGGTGTTATTTTGTACTTCCGGTAATCTATTCGAAGAGTCCACGGAACGATCTATTGTCGCTTTGTTGCCTTGATTAGCTTGGTTTACGTACTCGAACTTTCGGGAGTCTATAGTAAAGGTGACCGGACCCTGGAATATGTGTGAATTGAAGCTTTCGCATCAGTGCTTGTGTAGAGGTGGATTGCACTGACCTCGTTCGTTAGAGATACGTTCATCATGGCGCCGAATTTTCCATCTACATCAATTTATGGGAAACTATACGGGAAAAAAATAATAAGATCCGTACCTTTGATTTTGTCTGGATTGTAGAGTGCGCCAAGGCGGTCGAGCAGTGAGGCGTACAGCCGGCGCGATTGTTCTCCGCCCTATTGTTGATAATAGTGAATAACTAGTGAAGAGCCGTCTAGATCTGCTCTTACCATTGCACGATGGAAATCTGGTTTATTGCCTTTTGTAGTGTTTGCCATAAGCGTAAATTGAGAGACGCAAAGAATTTCTCCTTCGATATCTTTAACGCTTTTCTTCCACATCACCGATGGGTTTTCAGTGTCATTGAATACACGAAGAGAAATGCTGCAGAGACGAAGTTATTCTTGAATGCACAATTCTATCGTCGGACAGCGTAAATTAGCTTGCATTTTGTTCGCAATTTGATGCATGTCAGTTTCTGTATCATCTACGGCAATTCATCAGCGTCGATTCTGACCAATCTTGGAATATAAACGGGTAGATTACCAGTTCCAATGCCAACGAGAACCATTAGACCTCTAGATATCTTTGAGATAATCTCAGAGTCAACTGTGTTGTTGAAGTTGTTCCTAGTCGCTGAGCTTATCGGCATGCATCATTGCACGAAAATGTGATCCTTGCCTGCGACTGATGCACTTGCAACCCGCTGTATTACTGCACGCATGTCCGTTTTGTGAGCGATGAGGAGAGAGTGGTCGTGATGATATAAGGTAAGGAAGGGGTCGAGTTACTTAAGTACATAGATAACGCATTCACCAGACCAGAACGCGATTTTCTTTCAGTGATCGACGCGTGAACGTCCATGAAACTTAGCCACTAACTACATTTTCCACAATACAAGCATGGCGAGCTCAGATTCTGTCGTACTTGAAACCAGTATGGGGGATATCCAGCTTGAGCTGTATTGGGAACATGCACCCAAGGTACATTGACATTCCGCAGTCGCTATACCTAACGACACTCACACGTTTAATAGACGTGCAAGAATTTTGCCGAGTTAGCACGAAGAGGCTATTACAACGGTGTCATCTTCCACAGAATAATCTCAGATTTCATGGTCCAGGGCGGAGACCCGACAGGAACGGGACGTGGAGGGACAAGTATCTATGGACAAAAGTTGTATGTCAGACCGTCGGATTTCCCTGGTGTCTGGACATAATCCAATCTATACACATGTCTGTGCAGTGAGGACGAGATTCATCCAGAACTTCGGTTTACGGGTGCAGGGATCCTAGCGATGGCCAATTCTGGACCCAACACGAACGGTAAGTTTGTTTTGAACAGTAATCCGAATAATAGACAACGTTGGATTTCTTCGCTTCTTCTGACGCGTGTTATTCTTCCTGCCTCATTCCCGAAGGTTCTCAATTCTTCTTAACGCTGGCACCCACACCATATCTTGACAACAAACACACGATCTTCGGCCGTGTGAGCTCGGGAATGCGCGTCGTACAGCGACTAGGTGCGGTTGCAGTCAACGCGCAAGATAGGTACGCACCGCATCGCCCTTTTGTTCCTAACTTCTGGACGACTAAAAGCTTCTTTCAAACCTTGCAGGCCACTCGAAGACGTAAAGATTCACAAGGCTCGTGTTGTTTGAATACATGCATGTTATCGTCACTTTCGACATGAAAGTTCGGGATGGTTTTTTCCACGTACGCGGACGGCCGATGATCGCAGAAGCCTCAGCGTATCCGTTATTTCGACGTCTGGCGCCCTCTAGAGAAGCTGAGTAACCTCCCAAGGCTTGTTTTCGTCCATGCGGTACTCGGAAAATTCCTTCAGCGGTATCTGTATTCAATACAACAAACAGAACAAAATTGATGTACATCCATACATAATGAAGGCTCTTTTTTTATTGACTGAAGTGATAACATGAATAGGATTTCCTTATCTTTCTGTGATGGAAGTCAATTTCCTAATCGTGTTGCTGGGATGCTCAGCACTTGTTACACGAGGATTGACATATCTGTACATTGTGGAATTCTAAATCAGTTGTCCTACGCGAAGTCTTCTGAACTTCGTGAGTCGCATGTACCGTTTTCTCCTGGGCAACGGACAGGTTTCAGTTACAGTTCACACAGCCTCACGAATTCCTCGCTGAGGAAGGCCTTACGGAGATTATGGAGCCTTTCAACCCGCAGTCCCCTCATCTGCTCGCTTAGCTGTATTAATTAATAATACCTAGAAAACCTAAGTATGAATGAAACTTGGCCGAAAGCACCGAAATTACATATCAAAATCAAGAAGTCACAGAACAATACATGAAAATATGTTGCAGTGAGATATGCACATAAATCAGGGTTGGTAGTCGAGAATAGAGCGAGGCTCTGTTGTAGTGGGCAAAAAGCACCAGGAAGCGATGATCCATCATCAGCGCTCCGCGCGGTCATATCCTTCATGCGTTGCATTCATTAGGATTGCGGCTCTTCATTGTCGACGGGGAGGGTGCCAGTGTGAAGTGGAATTTCGACGAAGCCGTCTTCATCACCACCCTCGTCATCCGAACTGTCATCATACAGCCCACCATCAGGTTCACCAATCCAGTCGTCGTCGTCATCGTCACGACCGAAATCCCAAACGTCAAGGACAGTGGCATCTGTACGATTGCTGGCTGCAATACACCACCGCCCATCGGAGACAACTTGCCATACATCATTCACACCAGTCAGGAGATCACGGACGAATGATCCGTCCCTAATGTCCCACATCTTCAACGTTCCATCTGATCCACTGAGCACTTTGAACTCATCGTGCTGGAAACAGGTGATTGCACCAGTGTGTATCTGAAGACAATGCCTGAGTTCTCCGGTATTGGCATCCCAGACTCGCAAGCTCGAGTCAGCAGCTGCAGAGACCAGGTACGAGGGTGAGAGTCCAATCAAACCAACCAGTGAGTTATGTCCGACGAGCGTGTGTATGCATTGCCCTGTGGTTAAGTTCCAGACGCGCACAGTACCGTCCATGGATCCCGAGCAAGCTTGGTCGCGTATCGGATCCAAGACAATCGAGTATACTGTTAAACATGTCAATTAAGTATTTCATTACGAAAAATGAAGCAACCAACCTTTCTGCGTATGACCAACTAGGACCCATCTTGAGTGACCCGTAATGATGTCCCATACGCGAACAGTGCAGTCATAACTACCCGACACTGATGTGCGACCCCGTGCGTCTACATGTCGCACAGTGTCATCATGCCCCTCGAGCAAAAGTCTATGATACGGATTCTCCTCAGCGTCTTCCTGTAATGCAGACAGGTCATCAGAGGATGTATACATCTATGCTGCTAATAAATATACCTCTGAAGGGTCTCCTTCGTTGTCATCCGCTCCATAGCACCGGTATTCCTCCTCTCCAGGTCTGGGAAGGGTCCATACGCGTAGAGAGTGATCACGACTACCACTGACAATAACGACCGCTTCGGCCATCGTTCACGACGAGTAATCCCATCCCCATCAGTCCACTCAACCATTTCGGGTTTGACGATAGACAAACATCTGACAGTGCTCGTGTGGCCACCAAAGACGTGAGTACATTTCCCTGTCTTCAAGCCCCAGATTCGGACTGTGCGATCAGTTGATCCAGACACAAGAGTATCTTTTGTGCAAGCAAGTGCCCAGATGCTTCCCATGTGCCCCTCTAATGAGCAAATTAGTTTTCCAGTAATCGGTGAATAAACGTATATCGACGCGTAATCTGTGGACAAAATTATCCTTCCACGGGACAAGATTAAACATGTGACCATTGTAGAACGTCGGATAGGGAATGTTGTTATACGTTTTGGATTGATGTTGTTGAGCCGCGAAGTTTGAGTCAGGTAACGGGATTTGAATAATACCTTGTGTGGATGCGATAAAGGCAAAGCACTGAGTGCTGGTAGACCGGTCTTGCGTCTGCGCGACATGATGTGCTTGGAAAAGAGGTATTCGCTCCCGCCACCAGACCATAACTTCATTGATCTCATGAGACTCTGCCAAAGAATTGGATCAGAGTCGATTAGGGTCCTCCAAGCTTTTTGTTAAGACAGGGAGTTTGGAATGGCACTTAGATATATGCGCATATATGCACGCCCTTATATACTAGATACATCGTGCTATACTAGTAAATGAGACGTAAAATGCAGTGTGTTGAATACTCCCCTTCAAGCCCTAATATTCTGTCGTTAACGTTGAAGACCTATAAGTTCTATTAGGTGCTTGATTTGAGGGACGTAAAGTGCTTTTGTAAGGATGTCTGCAAGTTGGTTCTGTGTTTGAACATAACGTATGTCAATGTAGTTGTTCTGAATGTAACAGCAGACAAAGTCCTTTCACAAATCAAGGTGTTTTGTTTGAGTGTTGAAAGTGATCTCCTCGGATTTGATGGTTTGTATTGCTCCCTGATTGTTGTAATAGACTGTAATGGGTGCCAATTCTGTCTGCAGTACTTCCTCAGCAAGTTGTTTGAGCCAAATGGCCTCTTGAGTCATGTACACCAGCACTTGCAACTCTGCTTCATAAGTCAATAGTGGTACCAGGTTCTGTTGTTTGCTTGACCAAGAAATCATTTACTTTCCTAGCTGGAATACATATCTGTTAATTGATTAGTGTCCTGTTAACATATATGGAATGACACATATAAGCAACAGACATACCCAAGACATAGCTACATATTATATATACCTACTGAATTAATGGACAATGATGCAAAGTAGAGCAAGCTGAGTCCACTATCCCCCCTCTTTGTGTGATCCCTCTAAGCCTCTCACATAACCCCTCTCAACAGGTTATGAGCCTTGTGCTCCCTGCCTATGCTTTATCTACACTCTATATTATGAGATGATTAGTTCATCAACAGACAAACCACAAGACAATGACTTCATAATGTCTCAGTTAGAATACATACAATATAAAGACGAGAGACACTGAACAGTCAATTGTCACCTCACCCCTTGTCTATGTGTGCCCCCCTTAAGTTCTCCCTCTTAACAGGTTATGAGCCTTGAGCTCCCTGCATACACACATCCACTGTACACTCTAAACTCTTTACTTGCATACATTTGCACACATTTGCATCATGGTTCCCCCACATACAGATACATGCTGTAAACCAGCTGATGTACCTAAATACTTTGGTCAAAACATCACAATGCTTAAGACTGAAGCAAACTACAAGATGTGGCACTACTACATTGTTTCTAGTGTTGCAGCTATGTGCTTCGAACACTTACTAAAGGATGAACCACAGAACAAAGCTGAGAGGGAGATGGCTAAGGCCATTCATGCATGTATAGTCAATAACATTGCTGACACAATATTAGCAAACTATATGCACTTTGATACGTCTATCCCTCAGTTAATGAAAGTGCTTGAAGAATGCTTTAACCCCCAGACAGTATGTAAAAAGGCCATCAACGAATCAGCACTGTTTATTTGTAGAGACCATGTAAAACATTTCAG